ACCCAACGAATTGATGAATCAAACAAAGCAGCGGTAACAAAGACACGAAGGACCTTTTGATTACACAAATTAATTGAATTTCACATGGAGTTTGAACGCCACAAGATCTAAACGATCCTGATAAGTTCGGTTGTTCCACACAAGAACAAAGATTGGAAGCAAGCAAGCCTCTCGATTTAATTCTCAAAATTCAAGTCTGAATACAATAATGAAGGAAATTGATAAATTTATATTAAACTAAAAAATTCCTAAGAAATATGGAAAATATGGAAAAAAAAATTCTCGCGAAAAAGGAAACTGTTCGGCCAATTTTGAAGGTTTCCATGTGGTCGCCTTACTTTCTCAGATGTGGCCACTGGCTCCCCGCTGTGTGACCTCACAGCTTGCTTCTTGGTCTGGTTTGTGGCTTCTTGATCTACTTTGCTCCCAATTTATTTTCACTCTTCGTTCCCTTCATGAAACCTCACTCTTGGCTTGCTAACTTCAACTTCTTGAACTCCAAAGCTTGAATTGGTGATTGTATAGCTTGAATTAACTCCAAGTGGCCTTGATTGAGCTCTTTCTCTTTCGGACTCGAACATTAATTTCTCGACCGACTTTGGCCCAATTCGGATCACATTACACCATGTCACCTATACTTCTCCACATTGGAGTATAATCTATCCATATATTCTCCCAACTTTTTACTTTCGAGTGTGTAGTAAGTATTCAATGCTTATTTGTAAAGAAGAAAAGAAACAAGACAAAAAAAGATTGATTTTAGGGTTGAAATATTCAAAAGTGTATTGATCGAAGGATGTAATCCATCGAGATGCGTGATGAGATACCTAGCTACATGCTTGGAAGTCCTTGAATCTTTATATCCTCCTTTTTGTACAGCCTAACCCAAACCACATTACAACCCTTTATATTGACTATTTTGATCCCAAGTATGATTGTGGTAAGAAAGTAATGAAGTCTCATTTGACAGTATGCCTATCATAAGATCAACATTCGCTTGTTGCTCATTCGGAAACATTTAACCTCAGAATTATGAGTGTATCACTTTCTCAGCTCTATAGAGAGAAAACAGCAGTAAACACTTTGATACCCGTGAGTTATTGGGCTGAACCTTTAGCTTAAGACATGCTTGATGTTGCATGTGTTAGGGTTGGTGATAAGATGGCTATGGCTTGATATACACTCACATATTTAGCAATGTTTTTGATAACTTGATGATCATAACACTGTTAATTTCTTACGGTGTTGAGTTTGAAAAGATAACAAATTGCAGTTGAATTGGAACTCAACAAATTCACTTGTAATATAGATCAATCACTCATTTATTTTGTTGTGCATTAAATTGCTAGGGAGTAGCAATAAGCAAGTTGGGGGTGTGATAAGAATGTAAAATATAATATTTTTCTCTCTTAATTATTGCATTCATGTGATTATTTGATACCAAAATGCACTCATTATACTTATGTTTTGATTCAGGTTACATTTTGGTAGAAAAGGTGAAACTCGGGAGAAAAGAGTGAAAAGTGACCAAAATGAAAGAAAGTGAAAGTTCAAGGACCAAAGTGCAAATACTCCAAACTGGTGTCTAACTTTATGATGAAGATTAGAGGTCAAGTGGATGAGAAAAGAAGTCAAGGGGATGAAATATCGTCAAAGTTTCATCACACATCAATTCCCAAACGAAAAAAGTTACGCACGATTTTCATCCTCATATTGGGACCCATTTTTGACATAGAAAATGATTGAATTGGAAGATGATGTCTGAAGAATAATTGTAGCCTTTGAGTTAGCTTTCCAATTCACTTTGAGTTACGTCAATCGGACATTATGAGAGAAAATTATGGTCAAAATACTAAAAACTGTCTGGTGAAGAAAATGACAATAACCATGCAGTCGCATGACTATAAAGCTTTTATAATGTTTCATGTGACCGCATGGAATAAAACCATACAGTCACATAGTTATACTTCGAGGCCAAATTTTCCAAATTCTTAAATTGATGCCACCGCTTATGGAAACACATTTTTGCACATCTCTTAAGCCCCAAAATACTCCAGAATGTGGAGAATGAACCTAGACATCATTTTCTCTCATCTTTAGCCAAAAAACTCCATGGAAGGCTTAACAAACCAAGGCGAAGCTTCGAATGAACTCAATTAGTGTCGGTATTTTAACTTTTCTTCATGAATGTATTATGATTTTTATTATCAAAACATTTCTAGGATTGTGATTTCCTGTTTTTCATGAGTATTTTATGAAGTTGATTTAATTTGTACTAACCTCTTCATAGGATTAATCATATTCTTTCTATCGAGGAATTGAACTACCATTTGAGTTTTAATTTCATTTACCTATTGGTGTAATCCTTTACAATTCTATGCAAGTTGTATATTGTTGTTTTTGGGTTCGATTTCAATAGAATAAAATGGCATTTATTATTGGATTTAAAGTATTTTGAATGCCATATCTTCCAATCAAAGCATTGTGAATGAGAACTCTTTAATTTAGTATAATACATAAGTGACTTTCGTTGATTGGACCAAACCAATTGAGAGACTTCCGGTGCTTTGCTATCTTATGTTTTGATATTTAAAACACATTTCAAATTGGTAAATTATTTTCATACAAATTCATGACGAAAAACCCTAGCTTTTGAACCTTTGAACATCTTCCCATCTCCCTGTGGATACGACACACCGAAGCTATACTACAACCGCCGCGTTGCACTTTGGGTGTAATCAATATACCACACATAAGATGTCTTAAAGGAGTGGTACACATGACTAATGCTTAGGAGTGAAGGAATTAACCATTACAAAGACAAATCAATAGGCATGACGTGTACTATGCATCGAGGTGTTCCTTTTAGTAAAATCCGATTTTACATCTATCCTTGCAGGTACAAATGAAGTATCCTTGGCTTATTTTAATGTCTTGAAAATCCATTTTACTTACTGATGTGATCCAATGTATGCACCAAAGTTCCAAAGAATCAGGGCACTTCGGGAAGAAGTGGCATGCTAAGTTTGAATTTAATTGGAGGCCAATTGGGGACAAAATAGCTTGCCGGAACCATGTATAATACATAAGTGACTTTCGTTGATTGGACCAAACCAATTGAGAGACTTCCGGTGCTTTGCTATCTTATGTTTTGATATTTAAAACACATTTCAAATTGGTAAATTATTTTCATACAAATTCATGACGAAAAACCCTAGCTTTTGAACCTTTGAACATCTTCCCATCTCCCTGTGGATACGACACACCGAAGCTATACTACAACCGCCGCGTTTCACTTTGGGTGTAATCAATATACCACACATAAGATGTCTTAAAGGAGTGGTACACATGACTAATGCTTAGGAGTGAAGGAATTAACCATTACAAAGACAAATCAATAGGCATGACGTGTACTATGCATCGAGGTGTTCCTTTTAGTAAAATCCGATTTTGCATCTATTTTGCAGGTACAAATGAAGTATCCTTGGCTTATTTTAATGTCTCAAAAATCCATTTTACTTGTCGATGTGATCCAAGGTATGCACCAAAGTTCCAAAGAATCGGGGCACTTCGGGAAGAAGTGGCATGCTAAGTTTGAATTTAATTGGAGGCCAATTGGGGACAAAATAGATTGCCGGAACCATGATCAAGCCATGGAGCTCAAGAGATGGAGTATGTTAAGAACAAGTTTTATCAAGGAAATGGAGGTTCGAATAGATTGGATGAAAGCTGGATACCTGGGATCAACCGAAGTCCAGAAGCTGAAAATGGTGCCGGGACGCAAAGCCATGCGACCGCATGGCTTATTCATCCACGCAGCCACATAGGGGAAGGCAGAGAATTGTTTGGCAGCCTTCAATACAGCCATGCGACCATAATAAAACATACTATACGGTCGCAATAGCTAATTCTGGGCTTGATTTCATAGATTTTTGCGAGTTTCCAACTTTAACTAGAAGTCTTATATTTTGATATTTTTTTGCTATAATATGAGACATGTCTTACCTTATTAAATTAGGATTTTAGAATTATTCCTTTTTTGATATTTTTTTCTAGGGTTTATTAGTTTTAGTATAAACAATATTTTCATTCCATTGTAACCAAGTTTGATGATGAATTAAAATTTGAGTTTTCTCTCTCGAGGCGTGATGCTTCACAATATCGAACTTATCAATATTTAAAATCTTGTGACGTTCAAACAAAACCCGGATGAGATTCTTAAATCGTGTATTCAAAAGGTTGTTAATTTCATATATTAACGTTTGCTTAATTCATTGTTAGGGGATTGAATCCAAAACCATCAATTCATTGGCATTCTTGGGAACTATGGCAATCTAGTTGTGGGTTCGTGAGTGTTCGTTGCTCATGGGTTCGCATCACTTGCCCTAATATTCCAAAATATACTATAAAGCTAATTCCTTAAACCTTCATTTAATTGCTTACCCTATTGTCATCCTATTCTCAACCGATTTCACAATTTGCAAATCAATATTTATAACATCATATAAGACTTATATTTTTGCACCGTGATCATGTCATTTCATGCCTCATATCTCGAATATCTTAAAGATTTAGTTAGGGTTTATGGTAACCATGATTAGCCAAAATAAAGCGAGTAATTTTATTGATGATCATTCTGGCACTTTCAAGATCACAATCATTTAACCTATCAATATCAAACATCTAGATTAACCTGATTTTCTATCATAGCTCAATGCAAAATTCACAACCTAGGTCGAAAAGTCGAAGACTAAAATCTTAAAATCTCAATAATTGAATGAACCATTTTGAGAGAAAGTAATTAAGAAAACAAATGCAAGTGACATTGTGAATAGCATGAAATGCATGAGTCATATTGGCCCAAAGTGCAAAGTGAAGTTAGGGGTATTATATCCTCCCCTCTTTAGAAAAATTTCATCCTCGAAATTTGCTTACCCTAAAGGTTCTGGATATTTAACCCTCATTTCATCTTCTCTTTCCCAAGTGGCATCTTCTATTGACTAATTCCACCACAATATCTTAACCAATGGGATTTTCTTGCTCCTAAGTTGCTTTACCTCTCGTTGAAGAATCTCTACAGGTTTTTCTTCATAAGTCAAATATGGTTTTATCTCTATCAGCTCATTCTTTAGTACATGAAATGGATTTCCAATGTGTTTTCTTAACATGGATACATGAAACACATTGTGCACTTGGGACATTGATGAAGGACGATCAAGCTTGTAGGCAACATTTCCAATTTTCTCGATAATAGAAAATGGACCAATGTATCTTGGGCTCAATTTTCCTTTCATTCCAAATCGCATAACCCCATTCATTGGTGCTACCTTAAAAAATACTTGGTCTCCAACTGTAAATTCTAGCATTCTTCTTCTTTGATCCGCATAGCTTTTCTATTGGTCTTGAGCAGTTTGCATTCCCTGACGTATTTGCATCACAACTTCAGCCATTTTACGAACCATATCTAGTCCTAGCAGTTTTCTTTCTCCAATCTCATCCTAATAAACTGGAGATTCACATATTCTACCATATAGTTCTTCGTAAGGAGGCATTCCAATTGTAGCCTGATAACTGTTGTTGTATGCAAACTCCATCAATGGCAAAAATTTACTCCACTAGCCTTGGAAGTGTAATACACAAGCCCTCAGCATATCTCCAAAATTTGTATTGTTCTTTCTGATTTTCCATCAATCTAAGGATGATAGGTTGTGCTAATAGCAACTGCGTCCCTAAAGCTTTATATAAGCTTCTCCAGATGAGAGATAAAAACTTTAAATCCCTATCTGAAATAATAGATAATTGCATTCCATGAAGTCTAACTATTTCTTGTATATAGAGCTGAGCATATCGGTCCATGGAATTAGTGGAACAAACTGGAATGAAATGGGGACTGATTTGGTTAACCTATCCACAATAACCCAAGTACTATCCTATCCCTTAGTTATTTTTGGTAATTTCATTGCAAAGTCTATTGTGATTCTTTCATATTTCCATTCTGGGATAGGTAATGGTTGTAAGGTTCCTGTTGGCCTTTGATGTTCTACTTTTATCTGTTGATGGGTTAAACATTGTCCCACATATTCGGCTATCTCATCTTTCATATTTGGCCACCAATAATGTAACTTCAAATCTCTATACATTTTAGTAGCTCCTAGATAAACAGAATATGGTATCGCGTGAGCTTCACATAAAATATCCCCTCCGGTATATTCTACATCAGGTACATATAATCGTCCTCTAAACCGCAAGATACCATCTGCTCATCTATGAAAATCTGAAGCTTTTCTGTCATGTACATCATTCTTTACCTTAGAAAAACAAGCATCTTCCTATTGCCCTTACTAAAGTCTATTTAATAATGTTGGCTGAAGTGTCAATGCTGCAAATTCAGCCTCTACAAATCCTTGTGACACAACTTCAATACCCATTTTTGTAAATCTATCAATTCTAATTTTTAAGTTACAATCATACTCGCAACATTGGATGTCGACTTTCCACTCAATGCGTTAGGTCAACATTAGCCTTACCGGGATGATAGCTTATAAACACAATCATAATCCTTTACGAACTCTAGTCATCTTCTTTGCCTCATGTTCAATTCCTTTTCTGTAAATAGATATTTCAAACTTTTGTGATTAGTATAAATCTCGCACCTCTCCTTATACAAATAATGCCTCCATATCTTAAGTGCAAACACAACTGCGACAAGTTCCAAGCCATATGTAGGATAATTCTTTTCCTACTCTTTAAGCTGTCTAGACATATATGCAATAACTTTACCATTTTGCATCAATACACATCCCAAATCATTCTTTGAAGCATCACTATAAATCGGAAAGCTTCCAATACCAGATGGGATTGAAAAGATAGGGATTGAAGTCAATCTTTTCTTCAATTCCTAAAAGCTTTGCTCACAATCATTTGTCCATTCAAACTTAGTACTCTTTTTGGTTAATTTCGTTAAAGAAGAAGCTATTTTTGAAAATCCTTCCACAAATCTAATGTAATATCCAGCTAAACCCATAAAACTTCTAATCTCTAAAGGGTTTATAGGTCGTGGTCAATTATCAATAGCGTCTACTTTACTTGGATCTACTGATATGCCCTCACCTGATACTATATGTCCCAAAAATACAACTCTGTCTAACCAAAATTCACTAACTGCTTGTCCTTTAAGACCTGAAGGACTAGTCTCAAGTGTTTAATATGTTCTACTTTAGTACGAGAATAAATAAAGATATCATCAATAAATACAATGACAAACTTATCAAGATAATCCTTAAATGCCCGATTCATCAAATCCATAAAAGCTTCGGGGCATTTGTCAACGCAAATGGGATCACTAAAAACACATAATGACCATATCTCGTACTAAATGTTATCTTTGAAATATCATCTTCCTTTATCTTTAGTTGGTGGTATCCAGATCGCAAATCAATCTTCGAGAATATCGATACACCCTGAAATTGATCAAACAAATCATCAATCCTCGCAATGGGTATTATTTTTAATTGTCACCTTATTCAACTCTTGATAATCGATACACAGTGTCATTGTACCATCATTTTTATGAATAAATAATACTGGCGCACCCCATTGTGAAAAGCTAGGTCTAATAAAACCTTTATCTAACAACTCTTGTAATTGTAACTTCAACTTTTTCAATTTAGTTGGGGCCATTCTATATGGAGCCTTGAAAATTGGAGATGTTTCTAGAATTAAATTAATTACAAACTCTCTATCTTATGATCTGGTGGTATCCTAGGTAAATCATCAGGAAATACCTCTTGAAATTATTGTGCCACGGGTACATCACTAAGATTCAGATTGTGTTCTGCTTCAATAGTTATAACACTCACCAAATACCCTAAACACCCATTATCTAGTAACCTTTTTGCTTTCAATACCGATATAATTGGAACTCTAAAACCTTTTTCAATCCCAACGAATGTAAATGGCTCATTCCCCAAAGGTTGAAAGGTTATTGACTTCCTCTTACAATCTATAGTAGCTTGATATTTTGACAGCTAATCCATACCCAAAATTATATTATAATCTCTCATATGCAACACAATTAAATCCGCATAGAGCTCTCGATTTTCTATAAGGATCACACATGCTCGTACAATCAAATTGGTTAGTTGTACATCTCTAGATGGAATAGTTACACTATAACTGACCTCTTGTATATCATGTGTCCTACCCAACCTCCTCACATATTCAGTAGACCCAAATGAATGCATAGCTCCAAAATCAAATAGTACAAGTGCTAGGATGCCAAAAATAGAGAATTTACCTATTACAACTAATGGTTTTGCCTCGACATCTGATCTTGTGATAGTAAACACCCTGGTTGGTACCTTTTTCTGCTCCGTAGGATTTGGACTACCTGGGCATGTCTAGCAAGATGTCCTAGCTTTCCACAAACATAACATTTCCTAGTCTCTATAGGACATGCTCCAGTATGATGTCCACCACATCTGGCGTAAAATGGTTGTGCTAATGAGACTTTTCATGGATCTATCCTTGAACGTTTGCCCTGATCCTAATGTTGTTGTCCTTGTCTCGATTGAAACTTAAGCTTTTGACTCTATCCTTGGAAAGCTTTTTTCTTATCATTTCTAGGCTAACGCTATCCTTGACCTTGCCTAAATTGTCATCGAGGCTCTTGAGCACGACTAATTCTTTGTTCGGCTTGTTCTGCAACTAATGCTCTCTTCGCAATTTGAGACTATAAAACATCTTGGATTTCTACCATGCTTACAGCTCTAAATAGTTCTGGTCTTAGCCCCTCAAGAAATCTTTCTTCCTTTAGTGTACGAGTATTAACCATGTGGGTAGCAAACCTAGATAGTTGTTCAAACTTACAAATATACTCTCCTACTATCATCTCTCCTTATCTTAGTTGTATAAATTCATTCATCTTCATGGCTTGAACTGAGGCTGCAAAATATTTATTACGGAATAACTCTTTAAATCTCTCCCAAGTCATGGCATTTACATCTTCAATGCTACTCATCGTATCCCACTAATGTCCAGCACTACCTCGTAACATAAAGGATGCACAAATCACTTTTTCTACTTTTTAAACTCCCGTATACCTGAACATATTCTCTAAAGTCCTCAACCAATCCTCTACTGCTATTAGGTCCAATGCATCCTCAAATATTGGATGGTTTAGTTTTCTAAATCTTTCTCCAACTACCTCAATATGTTCAGGCCTTTGTTGTGGTTGAACGAATTCAACTATGATACCCCTAACTTCATATTGCACTTTTGGCCAGTATGATTCATGCATTTCATGCTATCCACAATGTCACTTGCATTAGTTTTCTTAATTACTTTATCTCAAAATGGTGCATTTGATTATGGATATTTTAAGAGTTTAGTCTTCGTGTTCTCGACCTAGGTGTTGAATTTTGTATTGAGATATGATATAAAATTAGGTTAACCAAATGTTCGAGATTGGCTTGATAACAAATAGAATATCGAAAAGGTCGGAAATTAGTATTGACAAAGGTTCAAGCTTTCTATTTAGTTAATCAAGGCCACCTTAAACCCTAGATAGGTAATTGGCATATTTGGGACATGAGACATAAAGGGACATGATCATGATGTGATAATATATGTCTCATATGACGTTATAAATATTGATGTGCAAATTGTGGAAATCAATCGACAATCATGTATCAATCGGATAAGAAATTAAATGAACGGTTGAGGAATTAGTTCTATAATATACTGTGAGATCTTAGGGAAAGTAAATTGGATTTCTAACACATTAAAATAAGTCAAGGATACTTGATTTTCACCTACAAAGATAGATGTAAAATTAGATTTTTACTACAAGTTACCACCTCATGCTTGAACACTTCGTGCTAGGGGTGTTTGTCATTTTAACAATCAATTCCTTCAACCTTAAGGCATCAATCTCGTGTCTACTCCCTAAGAACTTGATATAGGATGGATATAAATCTTAAAATTCACAAATGCATCCAAATATAATGGTTGAAAGTCAAGTATGGCTGCAATGAAGACACATCGTGCTTGGACACCTCATGCTTGAGATCGTTATCATATTAACGCCCAAATTCCTTTAGACTTAAGGCATCAATTTTGTGTCATACTCCTTAAATACTTATTATAGGATGTATTTATATCTTATAAGTTATAAATAGACCCAATATAATAGGAGAAAAGTCAGGTGTTTCTGCGAGGAAGACACCTCCTACTTAACTTGTAAGTTGTGAGGACTTGTCAATCGAACATTTAATTCCTTCAACCTTAAGCCTCCAGAACATCTTCTAAACCATTATCTCTTATTATAGAATAGATAAAAATCTTCTAAGACACATATGGAACTGTT